GCCGATTTCTTTTATCTGTCCATGATTTCCTTTTCTTTTAAATTGAGGTTTCATAGGTGTATACGTCTATCAAAATTCATCAAATTGTACATTTGAAATATGTGTAGTTTACTGTACAGAAATTATACCACAATAAAAGTGTTTAAAAAATTAATAGATAAATTGAGCTATGGCTTGCATCATTTAGCAAGATGCACAAACCACAAATGAATATTTAAATAGATTTTTATATACTTATTCATATGCCCTTATTAACCACAAGCTACATTTTAGAATATTTCCAGCTTCCTACCTGGCTCCCTCGCACTCTTTACCAGTCGACACCACCACTTCACTCCTGAGATAATGGTCATGACATTTTAATGCACATTGTCTCTTTCCATAAGCATAAAACTTTTCTTATAATTGCCTCATGTCTGGCTGTTCAAGTAAATGACTGCTTTTTAAGTTGCTTCCAGACTTTAGCCTTCAAATGAATTCTGTATACTTCACATAGCACATAATTTAATTCTTATCATTCCAAACATACTCACTAAATTTGATAAGAATTTAGGTTCATTTTTCAATGTTGTTGGATGACTGCTCTCTCTTTTAAAGGTGTCCTTGAGCTCCAAAACCCAAAATGGAGTATGCTAATACCCAGTTTTGAAGATAGCCCCTCCTAATCATACTGTCCAAACATGGTAACAATATATCTAGCTGATTTCTAATGAGGTGATAACAGATAAAAAGGCTGAAATTTAGACATGATATATGTTAATTTATATTATATCTATACTATCTGTAGAATAGATGTCAATCCAAAAAGGACAAATTCTTATAGAGAAGTTGAAGATGGTAATGAGATAATAAAAGGATTTAGAGTAGAAATTAAAAAGCTGAGGTGTAACTTACTAATGATTTCATAAAAACGAATATTATCAGTACAAGATGGAGAAAGTTTGTTCTTTACCTCTAATGGAGCCAGAGCCCAAATCACCATCATCATCTGAAACTGAAACATGAACATTTTATGTTAGGAGTAATTAAACATTTTTCACAGTAAGAATAGTTAAATATATAGAATTTTTCTTTCTAGAGGTCTATATAAGTAAAAAAGACACCAATCTGTCAGAGATGATTTACTTGCAGTACTTTCTGGAAACTGAATTAATAACCTCTAAAAACCCTCTTTATCCCTAGAACATTTCAGTTCATTTTTAATGACATGCTTTAAAGAAAGTATTAAGAAGAAAGTTTATCTTTAGCAAGTTGATATTAAAAAATCAACTTATATATATAATTTTGAACTTCCTTCACCTTGTTAATAACCAGTTCATAGCATACTTATATGGGGTTACAAAATGAGTCACAATTAAAAAGACCAAAAATTCAGATTTTGCAAAATGAGAGAGATGCCCTTATTTGGTACTAGATAAAATGCTGTAATGTTAATAGTAATTTGTGATTGTTTGACTAATTATGAGTTACATATTTTGTAGTGTAAGATAAAATAGTTATCAAAACAGCAGTAATTGCAATAATGATTTTAATAGTAACAGAAAATCACCTTCTGGAAACAGATTATGAAGAAAGAAAATGAATGAATGAATTAAAGTTTGTAAAACAGATACAAGTGAAAATTTCTGTCAAAAAATATCAATGAAACCTAGTATACACCTGTATTCTAATGCAAAGAGACACTATGTAGCTGCTGTCACCAGAGAGGAGCACAACAGCAAGACAGCCTGAATTCAAAGGATAAAATCTAAGTTATGAGACCTTGCACCAAGCATTGGTGTGGTGGATTGGAATATGCCAACCAGGTAAACACAATTTTCAGACCTCACACAAAACAGAAATGATTACCTTACACAGATATCCCTACACCCAGTAAAATGCTATATAAACACGGTAATTTCCTGGAAACATTCTGTCACAACATGACTAAAATTATCTCTAATAGATTAATCTTCTGGTAAACTCACCAACCTAGGGGAGCTCTGAGTTTGTGTGTTTGTGGGGGTGAAATTAAGGATGAAAATTATATAATGGACCTCTAAAAACTGAAACTCTGTATCTATTGTTCATTGTCCCTGAAAAAATAAGTTGTTTAATAACAAATATGAACACAGGAATAATTATATAATGAATTGTTACTTATGATGTTTCAACAGGAAAAAAAAAAAGAGCACTGCAGAATACTGATGGAGGTCTTTACCACTCTGTGATGCACAACTGTAGGTAGGTAGCAAATTCTGATAACCATAGAGTTTTGATGTATTATCTGTAATTTTCTTGCTTTTACTGAGTTGTATTCTTTAGTGCTTTTGTACTAAATATATCCAGTAATTAGTGGTTCAGTCCAAAGCCATAAAATCCTTGAACTAAATGTTTTTCAATAACATTGTGGATTCAGTGATTCCAGAATTATAGGAAATTATTACAAGAAAATGTTCAAAGAAGATTGACTCACCTTCAAAGTTAGTGGCATTCAAACAGGATGCACTTTCACATACTCAAGGAACATGATACAAAAAATCCTGTGTCTTTAAAAGCAATGCTGCTTTTTTAAAAAAAAATTAAGTTTTTACACTAGAAATCTGAGAGTATGATCTGATTCTCTATGAGTCGCACAGTGCAGAAAAGTGGGCACAAGAACACACTGTGCACACCTCTTGGTGCACAGTATCATCAAATTCCATGTGTGGCAAGACTAATGATAGATGACTCCAAAAAAAACATGCAAAAGCTCCATAACCCATATAATTTAATAATACTAAACCACAGGGAAATTTCTTTTCAACTAAAGTTTAGGCAGTAATCCCCAGAAGCACAATACTTACTTCATCCTAATTATAGACACAATTTTACTTTATATAGACCTCTCATCTCCTAAATTTTTTTGTCTTAATTATACTACAGCATCTCTCAATGGCTCAAAATGCTGCATTTATCTTTCTAAGCAACATTATATTCCCAAATGGTGAATTTAACAGAGACCTACACAAAATTCTACTCTAGCAACAACGATAACAAAAATTATAACCAGAAAAATGCCAAAAGTGCTTTAGAAACAAACACTATTATAAGCAAAGCATTGACTGTGAAAAATATGTACATGACATTTAGTTACACTTTTAATCCTATAGCCACTCAACACACTTACTGAATTCATTGCACGATAGATTACGTTGTTAACATTTGGATATACCTTAATTATGAAAATATATAAAATTGTGATCATCATCATCATCAAAAATTTTTCCAAGTATTTTTAAGTACATGATAGGAATATATGAAAATTCATCATTTCTTCTTAGGTAACATTTAAAATTTTTTAATCTTGAAATATCTTTGAAACATTAATTTGTAGTAACTAATTCACATTAACCAAATGATATTCACATTTGCCCTATCATGCTTAAGAGTTTCACACTAGTAAATGATTGTCTTAACTTTATACCCTTAAGCATAAACTTTCTGGTCACTAGTCATAACAGAGCAATTGAGTTGAAATGCTTATTATATAGTATCAGTTAGAATGTAATCTTTAATGGAATAGATCTACCCTGCCTAACATTCACGGGAATGTTAGTCAATCTGTGACATAATACATGAAATCAACTTATATGTTTCACAATAAAAGGCTATATTTTTTTTAAAAAAGATCAAGATATCCGCATGATTGCCACTATAAACAAAAATTTTATTTTTAATATAAATTAAAAAGTTAAATTCTATTTGATTTATAAGAGTTGCACCTTTAAGAGTTGCCAAAAGAGAGTTAATCTCAAAATTCTGTCAGCCCTACCCCCATCACTGCCACGCCCACAAATCACCCAGTCTTTACTGGCATTGACCCTAGACATGAAAGTTTCTTGGGTTAGGTAATGTGATGTTATTTCTGTGCTTAAGAGTAATATCACAGGCAAGTCTTTATTAATCAGATGAGTAAACATTTTCCATTCTGGTGATTCAGTCTTTCAGTTCAAATGTTTGCTTTTTTCTCAGTCCTCACACTTTCAAACTTTTCAACATAAATTTTTAAATCCACAAACACAATTTCCCTCAAGGACTTTTCTTCTTATATTAAACCACATCTAGAAATTACAAATGTCAAAATTATTTCTACTCTGCTGAATCAGCCCAAGAACAAAATTGCATTTTGGTACAAAATTAAAATGATTTTTTCTCTTCATATATTTGAAGTATCTTAAAGATATGTTGAATATATATA